GGACCTCACCTCGGTAAGCTCACCTCTGCAGCGGGGTCACCAGGAAGTGACGAGGGTTGGTGAGGACGCGGAGAAAAGGGAACCCGCGCATTGTTGGGAATGTCAACTGGTGCCGCCGCAAGGAAAGCAGTTTGGAGACTCTTTAAAAACTAAGAATAGAAACACCATGTGACCCAGCAGTCCCACCGCCGGCTCTGAGCCCAAGGAAGTGAGACAAACTCGAGGAGCCGTCTGCCCCACGCAGCTCACTCACATGAGCCGGGCAGAGCAGACCCCAAGGCCCTCGCCGGCTCAGGGACAGAGGAGGCCTGGCACACAGCACAGGGGCTCGCATGGGAAAGACGTGCGGCTGTGGCTACTACAGCAGCGTTAGTAACTCAACGGAGCGTCACGAGGCAACGGCGAGCTTTAGCCCAGCCCCGCACACACAGTGGCACGCTACGCGGCCTGAGAACAGTGAGGTCTTGCTGTTTGGGACGCATTACGCTAAGTGACATAAGTCAGACGGAGGAAAAGTACCACGTGATCTCACTTACGTGTGGAATCTAAAGAACAAAACAAAAAACAAGACACAAAAAACCCCAACCAAGTCGGGGCGGGGGGAGGGAGTCAAAGGTACAAACTTCCGGTTCTAAGTCTCGGGGAAGTGGAGGGCAGCGCGGTGACGATGGTGATACTGTTTTGCGTATTTGAAAGCTGCTAAGAGTACATCTTAGTTCTCACCACAGGAAAAAGCTTCTGTAACTGGTGATGGGTGTTAACGGGACTGACCACTCTGAGATACATACAAACAGTGAAGCCCTATGTTGGACCTCTGGAACGAATACAATGTTTATGTCAATTACACCTCAATGGGGTGGAGTCACAATCCGCCCTCCCAGGGCTGCGGTGCGGGTGGGATGAGGTTTGTGCCTTTGACCCTCCCCTGGCCTCCGGGTACGTTGGTGACCAGCCCGGTCACTCTTCTGCTCTCTAGGGACCAGGCCAGGACCTTCGGGTTCAGCTCCGGGGCCGCTGGCAGACCTGCAGCAGGAGGCAGTGGACTCCAGGCGAAGTCTGGGACAATACCGCCACCTGGTGGCTGCTCAGGTGCATCACAGCAGTAAGTGCTCCCTCCTGGGCTGCCTTAGCTAATCCACCGCATCCGCCCAGTGTGGGCGCTGGGGGCCAAAGGAGCGCACAGGAGACAAGGCCGGGGGAGAGAGCGCGAGAGCTTTGCTGCCAGTGGCCAAGGAGCACTCTGGGGAGACGTGGAACTGGGGGTGAGGGGGGAGTGGGAGCACTTAGGGTCCAGGGAGCTGGGCTCAGGTGTGAAGATGTTTCAAGGTGGGGAGAGAAGAGGCCAGGCCAGCGCTTGGGATGAGGACCCAGAGGCTGGGGGGTGCAGGAGGCTGAGGGGGTGCAGGAGGCTGGGGCTTCCCCTCCGCTGCTCTGAGACCAGCTGGGAGACGCCTGCCTGGGGCAGCAGCACGGGCGAGGCACCTCTCAAATGAGGAGGCGCCAGTGCCAGTGGCCAGGCCCTCCTTTGGGAGGCTTTGCGGGGCCCTGCTGGGCAGGCTTTGTGCCGGCTCCGGCTCCGGGGTGGTGGGGACATGGGGGCGGTCAGGCCTGCATCTGTGGGGGCTGCTCAGCACAGAGAGCCCATGGAGGGAGGTGGAGGCAGAGGCAATAGCTGCCAGATGTCCAGAGCCAGAGGCCTGAGCCCTCTGCTGACTGGGTGCTAGCAGGGGTGGCCCCAGAAAAGGTGGGGGCCAGAGCGGGATCGAGACACTCCCAGCCTGGGCAAGCAAGTGCTGGCCTGGGCTTCGGGAGTCCTGAGGCCAGTCTTTGTGGCCAGGAGTAGGGGCAGGGTCCCTAGGAAGGAGGCACAGATGGGCCTTCAAGGATGAGCTGCTAAATCCTCCTCCTCTCATGTCTGGGGCAGGGGCAGGGGGAGAGCACACACAGCCCTTTCCTGACTCACAGCCCAAGTACACAGCCCTCCCCTCGCCCCCCGCCTGGATCCGGGCGCAGCACAGATTGCTGTCCCCCACCTCTGCCCTTGGGATTTTCCCTTTTTAGGCTATATTGGCTGGAGAGAAAGGAGACGCCCCCCCTTGTTTTCTCTAACTCCCCAAATGAAATTTCAACATATGTCCCCTGACATAATCCCCCTTAGGCTGCGGATAACCCTTCCCACAGACGCTGTCCTCGGCGGGATTGCGGCCCCAAAGTGTTTGCCCAAGAGACTAGGGCCGCTCTGGAAGCCCCTCTCTCCCCCGGGCAAACAGCGAGCACCTTTGAAGGTGGATTTGGGCCCAGATCTGTTTACTCAAGACATTCGTCTCCCACATAAGGAAACCTGCACTCGCCCACAAACAGCAAATCCTTTTTGAATTAAAAAAATTTTCAATTAAAAAGAATTTGGGTTTGCAGAGCCAGCTCAGCAGAGCGGCGCCAGGCCTGGGCGCCCTCTGGTGGGCACAGGCCGCCATCGCAGCAGCAGCAGCAGCCTGGCCTGGGCGGCCTCTCCAGGAAAGAGACATCACTGTCAGGGCCCCGCCAGGGGCTTCCCAGGGGCCTGGGGCCCTGCAACGGAGCACCAGGCCTCACCGCGCACCACTCCCACCGTCCCCATGGCTGTTGTCCTGCTGTCGCCGCGAGGTGGCATCCCGGCAGTGGGAGGGGCAGACCACAGCTTCCAGGGCACCTGGAGCTGGCGTTTCACTGCCGGGCCACTGGACAAAGGTGGCGACCATCCCACCCACCGGCCCACTCACGGGTGCGGCCTCCGTGCCTCGGGACCAAAGGCTTTGCCAGCACCAGGGCGCTGGGCCTGGCCGGGGTGGGGCAGGCACCAGCATTTGCCTGCCCACATTTACCAGCTGCCCCAGAGAAGGGCACATCCCCCCCTTCCCTCCCTGGGTCCAGCGTCAGAAAGGGCGGCGCTCAGGGTTGTTCCAGCTGTGGAAGCTGCCGGAAGCGCCGCCTGCACAGGGTCACAGACCGAGCGGGGGCAGGGGGACAGGCCCAGCAGCTGGCATTGGGCATGTGTCTGCACCCACTTCCTCATGGGACGCAATTCGGAGGTGGGGGTAGAACTGATGGGTGCCAACACGGAGGGCACTTCGGTGAGAGCGGCCTGAAGGCCCGGCCAGGGGAGCACAGGTGGAGGGGAGGTAAAGGGGCAAGACTCAGGCCAAGGAGAGGAGTCTGGTGCAGGGGTCGGCCCAGTGAAGGGCGGGCTCCGGAAGGCATGGAGGTCCCTGCAGTCAGAGGGAGGCGGGCAGGGCTCTGAGCAGCGGCCCCCCTCTCCCAAGCCTGCCCTGCCTGGCACCTGCCTTGGCTGTGCTCACCGCCCATGGCTCAGCCCCTCGGGGCGATGGGCAGCGTCCTCTCCTCGCTCCTCTGGAAGCCGGGCTGCGGGGACTCAGCCGGGGCAGGTGGCCTGGGCAGCCGGCCTCCTCCGGCCTGTCCTGCCGGCTCCTGCCCTGCGGGAGGCCTGTTCGTACTTGGACTGCGTCACCTCAGGGACGTCTCAAACCTGGGAAAGGGGGCGCCTCGGGGCTGGACACTGCAGAGGCTGGGCTGCGGGGAAGCCAGGCCTGCCCTCCCCTCCCGGGGGAGGTCCCAGAATCCCCAGAGCAGGGAGCACGCCTGGTACCTCCCTCAAGGAAGGGCCGCCGCTCAGGGCTCCTGGGTTATGGCTCCACAGGTGACAGGGTGGCAGGAGCTGCCGGGTCCAGAGTGAGTGTTGGGACCAAATCCTCATGCCCCGTGGAGCTGGTACTGTTCTTGCCACAACAGTGAGCAACCCGGGGCTCAGAGAGGCTGACCCAGGCCACCAGGGCCGGGGACACGCTGGAGGCCTCTGACCACCTGGGTCGGTGCGGGTGCTCGGCTGGCCCTGTGCTGGCTCTCCCAGGTGGCTTCCCGAGCAACCCCGGGGTCGGAGCCCGTCCCACCGTGGGTCGCCCTGGGTGAAGGGGTGGACAAGGCCCCCCCAGGCCCCCTGCTCCGGGAGCAGGGACCACATGTGTGGGCACAGGGCTGCCCGAGAACGGCTCGGTGAGGCGCCGGTTCAGCCCGGCCGCCGCCTGCTCAAGGCCTCTGGTCACTTCATCCCTCCTTATCAGTCCCCCTGTCCTGCTCCAAACCTGGGGCGCAGGAGGGGTTGGTGACTCCTACGTCCCCACCCTGGGGCAGAGCCCCGAGCCCTCCTCACCCCTGCGAATAAACTCCACTTCTGTGTCCACAAACGGCGGGGCTCCCCCATCACTGCGCCCGCATTTCAGAGTTTACCTGAGTATCACCTGAAGCAGACGTCTGCATTTTTCCTCTCCTGGGTTATTTGCAGAAAACGTTTGAAACGATCCTGCTTTCTGGCCCTGGTTTGGGGTGAGGAGAGGAGGTCACGCTGGGAAGGTGCCTCCCTCTCTTCAGCTCCTTTGTGCTCACTTCACACCTACGTGCAGGTATGAGGTGGGCAGGGCTCTGAGCAGCGAGTGAGGAGAGGACACTGCCCATCGCCCCGAGGGGCTGAGCCGTGGGTGGTGAGCACAGCCGGCCGGGGCCTGGGCTGTGCAGCCAAGGCAGGTGCCAGGCAGGGCTCACTTCATACCTACGTGCAGGTAACCTTCCACAAGTTCAATGTGAGGGGCTATTACTTTAAACGTCGGGCGATGAAAGAGGCCCAAACCGTAAGAATAGAAACACCCTTCTATGAAGGACTTGCATCATCTGGACTCTAGTTTTGCATGAGCAGGAATACCACCCAGGACAGTGCCCAGGTGGGCGATTCTGTCCGCCAGGCGTCATCGCTGCCTCAGCCATTCCCACACCCGGCCTGGCTGTTCGTGTGTGTGGTGAATGCCGGGGCCACTGTGGGAGCAACTGTGGGGGCTGCCGCTCGGCCATAGGACCACAGAGCGGGGAGGGGGGAGCCCGAGACTCTCAGAATTAGGAACTCTATTAATATCATCTACCATATTAATATGCTCGTGGAGAAAAAAATGAGCATCTCAAGAGATGATTAAAAGACATTTATCAAAAGCCACCATCCATTTCTAATAAAAACATTTAGGAAAATAAAAATAGATGGCTAATTCTTTAACACGAGAGAAAAAGGGACACGTCCATACATATGACAAGCCAAAACGTAACCCTGGATGAAGACTGAAACTAGAAACCTGCATTAAAACATGAAGACAAGGAGGCCCAGTGCCCGGACCGTGCCGGCCGGGCGAAGGCACCAGCGAGGGACAAACACCGGGAAGGAGGGGGCTGGGGTCGGGTTTGCAGATGGCAGAACCGTCTGCCTGCGCAAAGCGACCGAGGAACCGCCAGGAACAGTGAGCGGCGAGACAGCCAACTGCAGACACGCAATGCGAAGCCGACAGCTTCTGGATACATGAGTAACAGAAGAGCTAACGGAGCAAAGACCCCATTTACAAGAGCCACAGACACATGAAACACCTAGGAACAGCCTGGAAGGAATTGCAGGAACTCTGCAAAGAACTCCATTCTACTCCCTGAGTGAGGCAAGCAAAGGCCCGAGGGAGACGCCTCCCCGGAAATGCCAGCCCCGTCACCATGTCCTCCAGTTACAATAAACCGGAAATGGAGCTTCTGGAACCCCCTGCCCCCCAAACGATTCTGAGGTTCAACTGGCAGAATGGTCATGTGACTATAATTAGGATTTTTGGGGGAAGAAGAGCTAGCCCTATCATGTATTAAGGCTTATCACAAAGCTATAAGATTCAAAACAGTGTGGTAATAGATCAAAAGAAGAGTCAAGGAAAATGTCCATTAATTAACTTACACGTGGAACTAGACAGTCACATGCCACTTAACGACGAGGGGATGCACGTGTCGTCGGAGGCTTTTTTTGTACGAGCATCATCGTGCACTTAGACAAACCTGCACGGTGCAGCCCACTGCCCCGAGCTACGCGCCTGGACAGCACGTTACTGTGCGAAGCAACAGGAGAGTAAATCAAGCACCAGAGAAAATGCCGCAATCAAGAGGTGCAGGAAGCAGGAGACATGGGCTTCTGTTCTAGGGCCAACAGTTTTTATACGTAGAAAGAGCACACTCTAAAATAACAATAAAGAGAATGTGAATACAGAAACCAGCAACACAGTCAATTATCATCATTATCAAGTCGTACGTACTCTGCATAATGTACCTGCCACACTTGTGTACGACTGGCGAGCAGGTGGTACGAGCCACAGACAGCACCAACCAGACAGGTGGGTCACGTGCTGTGCTATGGCGTTAGGACGGCTACGATGTCACTATGCGCTAGGAATTTCCCAGCTCCATTACAGTCTATGGGACCACTGGTATCCGCGGTGCATGACTGTGTATGATGAAGGTAGTATTTACAATTCACTGAAGAAAATAATCAATGCTGAGAAAACTGGCTAACACGTTAAGATGAAGTAAATCTGGTTCTAGCCCTCATCTTCTAATACATTTCAGGTGGGTTAAGGAGTTGAGGAGCATTTAGTATTTTAATATATTAAAGTACAAAAGGGTAGGAGAAAATAGGAGTGAATATTTTTATAATCTAAGTATGATCTGAAGCCAAAAATTAATCTGTCCATGAAAAAATTTAGAACACATTATTAGCAAGGTGAGAAGCCGCTGGTGAGAGTGGTGTGCGTGTGTGCGTGTGTGTGTGTGTGTGTGTGTGTGTGTACCCAGAGCAGAGAGAAGGTTGTTATAAACAGCACAAAGAACTCTTTAAAAATGAACGAGAAAAGCTAAAGAAGCCAATAGAGGACATTAGGCAAAGGGTACAAACAGGAGACATTCATAAAAGACATACAAATGAGCAATAAACATGAAAAGATGTTCCCTTTTAAATACCAGGGAAGTGTGTAGCCAGGGCGGATGTGGGGAGCGGGCACCCTCCCATGCTGACGGTAGAGTCATGAAGGCACACCCCTCCTCCTGGGAAGGCAGGATGGGAACATATAGTAAGAAGGCCCAGGGGAGCAAGGACACACGTACAAGGAGGTGCACCGCAGCAGCGTGACAGCAGATGACCGGATCAGCGCAAAAGGCAGTCCGCAGTGGCTGCGGAAGTTATCACAGAGCAAACAGGCAGTCGCGGAAAGCAGGGAGCAGATCTGTGCGCACTGACATGCAGGATGTGCAAGGTGCATGGCGAGTGTGCAACAAGGCACAGAATACTGTGTGTATTGGGAGCCCGTGTAATGTTCACGTGTGTGTATGTGTGTGTCCCCGGAGTGGAATGTGGGGAAGTTTATGTGTCTGAAATGTTTGCATTTTTATAAACATGTAAAACCTGTGAACTCATGGGGAAAACACTGAATGTTAAAAGCTGATTTTGATGGGCAGGGGAGCTGCTTAAGAGGATAAACTGCCCAGGAGACCTGCCGGGATTTATGGGGAGAGAACTGGTCTTGTCTCGGGCCTAAAACTGGCCCCGAAACGGTGGCCAGGCTCCTGACGTGGTCCCCAAGCTGCTCCCCACATTTCACAGTGAGGACAACACTGCTTCTGTGCCTTCAGAAGGGCCACCCACTGAACGGCATCAGGTCACTTTGTTTGGGGCTGGGATGACCTCCACCCTGCGACAGCGCTGTAGCAGCTGGTGCAGCTGTCGGTGAGCAATATAAAGAGGGGGGGGGGGCAGGGTAACGCCTATTTACTTAACTAACCTTTATTTAATAAAGTAGCACACCGCCCCCCCGCCCCCCAAAATATAAGCGTCCTTACTGAAGTATAAATAAAGAAAAAGGATTCTGGGTGGCGAAAAGGTTAAATCTCACAGGTGGAGAGAAGGCAGCTTATTTCCTGTTGCAGTTTAAGACCTGACCACTAGATGGTGCAAAGGGACCACGCATTTTTGCGCCCTCTCCCCGCACAGAATTCTTTCGCGTTAATAAGCACAATGAAAGCTTTCCAGAGTTGAGAGAATGAGCAATTGTGCTGGGATATGAACGTTTTGCTTTTATAAAATTGGGACTCTGCCATTTCATTACTGATACAAAAATCTTCTGTTTCACTTTCTGCCCGCCTCTGCAGGTTCCAAATCCACACTGCATCTCAGCTATTTGAAGGGGCCAGCAGAAGCCCATGAAAACGGAATGTCCAAGAGTTGAATTCAAAAATTCTTTTTACCTCGAGCTGCCACACGTGTCCCATTAATTTCACCTCCATGTCGTGACGTCGCTGCTCGTGGAGTGGGCCCAAGCTAAATAAGCAATATGCCCCATTTTTCAACATACAAACACATAAAGATGTCAGCGCAGGCTGTTTACTAATTAACGCTTAAAAAGACACAAATTAGATATGCGTGGCTAAGAGCAATTATAATCAAGACGAATTTCTCTAGTCATTTGGGAACTGAAAAAAAAATGCCTAATTGCTGGAACCAATGTTTTAAAAACTGAAATCATGCCAGTTAGCAAATATGTTCATTTAAAGAACATTCCACGTGACTACACTCGTGAGGATTGACTACAAACACGAGAACAAGGAAAATATTTAGGTATAAAATTAAAATTTTAAGCTCCCTTAGATTTATAACTTCTTCATTAAATACGCCTGCAAACAGCAGCCCATAAAAACCTGCAGCAATTAAGTGGTTAAATGGACTGCCTCCCTTGTCAATTTTAAGGGAGTGATTAATACGAGATCGTCCCTTTACTAATTAGACTCTCCCTTGACTTTCGGCTTTAGATCCGTGAAAATGGAGGCTGTTTGCTCCTCCAGGAAGCCGGTGGCGACCAGCACATCCCTTGCCGGGTCTGAGTGCGGCACCCCTGAAGGGCGGGGAGCCCGTGGTTTCCGTGGGAGGCGGGCAGCAGGCGGGGAGATGGCTGTGTGTGGAGCTGCCCGGCATCCGGATGCCCGTCCATCACAGGAATCGCCGGCTCCTATTTTTAAAAGGCTCGCCGGTCGTCATGCACGCAGCATGAAATCTACCACCATCAAGGCCACTGTCTCCTGGCCATCACTCCCCGAGACAAGGGACAGATCGGCCTGTGAGGGAGGCAGGGTGGGGCCGTGGGGGAGGAGCACACAGGCTCCGGTTCAGGTGACCTGGCAGGGGAATTCTTGCAGAAGCTGCTGCCTGGACGGAAATACAACGGGTGGAGAAACGGCGACTGCTTACGAGGGAAATAAAGCACATTTATATGCCCAGCTCACTTGGAGGGAAGATGCTTCATCACAGGGGTTGGCCGCAAAATTACACCTCCCCGACTCCCAGGGGAGAGCCTTTTGTTTGGGCAGCGGGAGGACAAGGAGGCCTGCAGGGGACAGGGCCCCAGGCCCCCGGCTGCTGCCCAAACCCCTGGGAGGGGCCAGGCTGGCCAGAAGACCTCCCAGTGCCCCCACTCCTGCCACTGGTCAGCCCCTGGCACCTCCCGGGCCGAGGGGAGAGGAACAAAATCTCACTCTCTCAAGCCTGGGACCCATTTACTTGGCAAAGCCCCTGCTCTGAGCCGTGGGCGGATGCGGGCGGCAGGGCCGTGGCCGCAGGAAGAGGGGCCGGGAGAACGGGGGCGGTGCCACGGCCGAGGGCCAGGAGCGGTCAGATTTTGGTGTTTTTGGTGACCATGGCTTCGTTTCCGACAACCCACCCACGGGGCCCGAGCGAGCTTCTGGGCTGAAGGGCTGTGCCTTCCCAATGATTTTTCCTTTGAAATCTGCTCGGGAGCATGTGCACTGATTTTAATCATGACCTTAGGACATGACCTCCCGTGCGTGTCTTTGATAAAACGTGATCAAGTCCTGCCTCGGCCACAGCCCTGGGGAGGTCCTGACCGCTGACCACGGCTCAGACCCGGGGGCAGGGTCATCAGGAGATTGCCCCAGGGTCAAACCCGGGGGGTGGGGGCAGATTTGGCATGCTACCCCGGCCTGGGACTACCTGTCCTCTCCCTGCACCATGCTGCCTCCACTGCCTCCACAGCCACACACGTCCTGCAAACACCCAGGTACCATGGGCAGAGCCTCGTCCTAGCTCACACTGTCCCCGAGCTCATTGGGGTTCTGTGGGGCCCAGCCACGACCGGGGTACACCTCGTCTCTTTCCACCTGTTATTCAGTGGCAGGCTGGGGCCCCCTGCTGTGGTGGGAGCACCGGGCAGCTCTGCTGGGCACTGCTGGAGTGCTCCCTTCGGTCCCGAACCCCCAAGCTCAAGGCTGACAGGTTAATGGAGTGACCTGTCCCAGGGCCAAATGGTAGTGACAGGCACAGGCCCACGTTCAGAAACACCCCAGGCAGCGCGAGTAAGGAAAGTGCACCTCCGGGTCAGGATGTAAGCATCACGGTCCCCAGGGCGGCCCTCTCCTTCCTCAGCCCTGTGAGCAGGGAGCAGGGAGCCAGGGGAGACTAGGGAGGAGCCCCAATAGGCACGGGGCCCAGATGTGCCTCTGACCCAAAGGCAGTCTCCCACCTTTGGGGGTAGGAGGCTTGGTTTAATGGGATGAAACAATTGACAGCAGTGGTTCTCAACCTTCTTGCCCTTTAAATACAGTTCCTCATGTTGTGACCCAACCATAAAATTATTTTTGTTGCTACTTCATAACTGTAATGTTGCTACTGTTATGAATCGTAATGTAAATATCTGATATGCAGGATGGTCTTAGGCGACCCCTGTGAAAGGGTCGTTAGACCACCAAAGGGGTCGCGACCCACAGGTTGAGAACCGCTGGTTTAGAGGGAAGCTGCCAGCAGAGCTCCCCCTGCTCTGGGCCCCACCCCTCTCCACCAAGAGCAGCCAGACCCGCTGGGAATGAAAAGGAGACAATCATCCCACGGAGGAGACAGCCGCTGCCCAGGGCCAGCCCCGGGGCCCAGACCAGGCCGGGAGGCTGTGGGCACAGCCTCTCCCAGGCAGCCACCCCTGCAGGGCTGGGTTCAGGGCCTAGGAGCAAGCTCAGGTGTATTTACGGAGAAAATCCTCACACGTGTTGAGAAGATGGGGCTGTTCACCAAAGTGCACGGATATCAACAGACTAGTCACCACTAAATGCGCGCGGACGGCTGGTGTCACGTGTAAGTCCTCAGATTAGATGCAAATCCACAGCTTCTGGCGGCGGGTGTCCGCGGCGGCTTCACACCCATGTGCCGTTTCCAGCCCCTGCCCGTCCCCACATTCTCACCGCCGTTCAGTTTCCTTCAACAGAGAGTGCGGACGTGTGTTTAACCCGTCTCTAGGAACAAGAACTAGAGCTCGGCTCGGTCCCCCGATGCCACGGCTCAGCCACGGGCCCGAGCAGCGCGTGCTGAGGGCCGGACTCAGCTGCTCACACCCTCCCGTGGACAAGGAGCGGCCGCGGCCACAGCAGCAGCGGAGCGGGAGCCAGGGCAGGCCCTGTTCCAAGCCAGTTACACGGCGCTCAGTGGGGAAGCGTTTTCATTACTGTCCCAGTTTTCAGACGAGGAAACTGAGGCTCACTCAGGCCCAGGGCCGCGGACTGCAGAGCCCGTCTGTCCACCAGCTCCACTCAGAGCCTCTGACCTCAAGACAAGACAGCCCAGCTCAACACGTCTGGTACAGACATCAGTCCTGGGAGCGGGAAGAGAACTGAGGTTTACAGCGGTTCCGCCACATGCACGGCTCTGCTCCTACATCCCCCCTCGTGTGTCTCTCCTACATCCCCCCTTGTGTGCTCCACCTGTGACCCAAAGGCCAGGGTCAGGACCCAGGGGTCCCTGCCTCCCCCCCCCACCCCCCCACTCCTCACCGGCCCCTTGCATGTCTGCGGAGCCACAGACTTCGAGTCATGAAGGAGAGGATTTAGGGTGTGACCCACTGGGCCTCAATCTTTTCCTCACCCTCGAGCCTCCATTTCTGCCCACGACACGGGAGGAATGACACCCCTCGGGTCAGCATGGGCGAGGGCCGGGGAGGCGGCTGGTGGAGCCCGGAGCCCGCGCTGAGCACACAGCAGGTGCTTAAACACCCGGGGACCCAGGGGAGCGAGGCCACGCTGGGGGCTGCCCCATCGCCAGCACGTGCCACCTCACAGCACCCAGCCACGGCGACGGGCACCTGTCTGCCAAGTATTCACGAAAAACCCCGTGGGATCGGTCCACGGAGAGCCCTGCTTTAAACAGAGTGCGGGTGTGACTTGCCCCCGTCAGTGTGGGCCAGACCCGTCCGGATGAACTTCACCTTCCTGGGCGGTCCCAGGCTGGGCCCTGCGGCACCACCCGCAGCCACCCCGGGGGCCCCCCCTTCCCACGCACACCGGGCGCCACCGACGAGGACCCCGCGCCAGGGCGGGCTGAGCGGGGCCATCGGCTCCTGGACCCAAGAAGGGCTGACGGGGTCCTGGCGCCTCCCAGCGTGGCAGCGGCCAGTCTTTCCCCGAAGTTTATAGACAGAAAAGCGCCCCCCGCCCGCCCCCCGGTCTACAGATGACAATCAGGTGGGTTTTATGATTTACTGGAAGGCAAAGACAAGGGGGGCTTTTCCGTCTTGTTTTTGCTGTGACAGGCTTAGGAATCTGTTGTACTACACTGACTCCATTTTCCTTGATTTCAGCCATCTTTCAATAACGCAGCCCCATCCGCTCGCTGGCACAGCAGAGAAGGCCCAGAGGAGCGGGGATATGGAAATGGTCCTCGCACTTCCATCTCCGAGACAAATGTTCCCCCCAGCGGGGCCGCTGCAAGCACGTGACGCTCCGCAGCCCTCCACACACAGACGCACCCGCCACGCTGTCCTGGGAGCGGGAGCACGTCCGACCCCATCCCACTCCACGATCTCGACGCCCTTTCGTCGGAGCTGCCACAAGTGCCCCCAGCCGGGGTGTCTTTCCTTTCAGTAGAGAAACATCCGAACTGTTTGAACCAGGCTGCCCCATGGGGTCTGGCTTACCATGCACAGCGGAGCACCCAGCCTCTAAGTCACAGAGGCGGGACCGTCTCCACGCCCCTCCTGGTGGCTCGGCACACGCAGCCCTTCCCCGGACCCCCACCTTCTTTAAGCTGAGACACTGAGATAAAAATAAAGCACAACTGTCCCCCGTCTCTTACAGCCTCTGAGCGAGGAGGACGGGGAGGGGCTGGCACACTGGACCGGAGTAATAAACATGAAAAGTGGGTTCTTGTTCCAAGCGATACATGTGAGTGACATGGGGGTGGCTTTCTGCAAAGGGCACCCCAACCCCGGTCCTTCCTGATCCGGAGCAGATCCCTAACCGGAGAGACCCAGGTGCGTGAGCCGGCCCGCCCCTCCCGCGCTGCAAACCGCTTACCTCTTTCTCTATCTCCGCCAGAGACTTGATGGTGATTCCCAGCAGGTCAAAGGGCTGCATCTGAAAGCACAGACCATGGCGCCCTTCAGGGCTGGCACTGCCTCTTCACGCGGGCACAGAGCATGACCTCCGCCCCCGTGTGACCCAGTGTTCCCTCCACCCTCCCCACGGAACCTGGGATCCGTCCCGGGGCACCCTGCAGGGATTAGTGAGGGCGCTTCCAGAAAGTGCCCTGTGTAGGGACCGCTGCTTAGTCATCTGCCTTCAGCATCCAGGAGGGTCATGCTGTCCGGAAAGGCAGTGGCTGTCACCAGTAACTCTCAGCTCCCCGTCCCCTGCCCACGGGAGAAGCCGTGTGCTTTCTTTCCAGGGCTGTGGGGCTGGAGCTGTCCCGCCTTCCCCAGAGGCCGCCAGGCCGCTGCGGGGCGTGGGGCTGAGTCGTTCCAGGAGGCCGGTAGTGAGTCTCTCCTCCAGGACTTAGGTGTCCGGGGAGGAGCTGGGGGAACTCCAGGGCTTTGAAAATGCAAAGTGAACGAAATCACTGCCTACTAACGGTCATTTGCGAAACGAAAGGTGGTGAAAAACAATACCGCGTTTTGATGGGTGTTTCTATAATTTCATGAATATGGGGACCTTTCAATAAAAGATGCTGGCTTTTCCACAGACGGCATACAAAGTCAAACACATGTGGCTCCAAGAGCCAGCGGGAGGCCCAGAGAAGCGGGGGCTGAGTGCAGGGTGAGAGGGCAGAGGACCCCTCTGGGCACATGCGCCTTCTCCAGTCCCCCAAGGGCACCGGCCCCGCCCCCTGAGCCCAGGGCCTTTCTGGTTCTGAACTGCAGCCCGAGGGGGCGGGGCCTGAGCCAGGCCGGGTTCTCCTGTGAGACAGGTAGGAAGAGGCCACTTCCAAGTCCAAGGCCCAGGACTCGGCCTCAGGTTCCATCACTCCATCACTTCCTCTCCTGCTGGAGAGCAGCTGGGCCTCCAGGCCAGGCTGCTGGGAGAGTGAAGTGAGGGAAGCAGGGAAGCTTTTGGCACCGGGCTGGCCTGAGCGCGCGCCGTGGGCACTTGCTGAGTCGGCAGCGCCTGGGTAGCAGCCCATTAGTGAGGGCGATCTTGGGGCAGGGCCACCAGATTAGGCACCGGGCTCCGGGCTGCGCTGCCAGTAGCCAGAAAGCAGTTTGGCTCTCGCCTGCTGCCAGGCCGCGCGGCGCACATGGGCCGCCTGCCCGGCTGCCCGGGATCCAGCTGAGGTCCAGCTGTTGTATCATTAGGCTCTCGCTGCCCCACTAAACTTCCCGGCCGGAGCTGGTGCGCAGGACAGAGCTGCCTCTCCCAGGAGCCGCCGGGAGAGGCGCCAGCGTCGCCATGGCAACGCGGCCGAGTGGAGTCGGCTGAAGTTACTCATGCTCTGCGTGTCACGTCAGGAGCATTTTTCAAGATTAAGCTGCTTACCAGAAGGGTTCAGAGGAGGCCTATTATATTTTATGAAAATGGAGACTACAGAGCAGGTCACATGGCAAGCCGGGTGGTTTTAAGTCGGATCCAAGAAAAACACTGACGGATTCTTTAGCTGGTGCCCCCACCAGGGCCTTCACGTTTCTTAGCTGCTTAAAGCAAACTTCTTCGGAAAGGACAAAAAATCCCGGGAACCAGGCTATGCAGCCAGCCTGGGCCAGGCCTGCGCAGCGGAGGGAGGGCCACTGCCACCCGGGGGGGCGGGCAGGCAGCAGCAGGAGAGAGGCCTGGGGTGCCAGGCAGGGCCTGTGGCCCAGCCCACAGCCGCCAACACCCGGTCTGAGCTCCGCCTTCAGGCCCAGGCAGCCCACTCAGTGCCCCCGCCCTACAGGCCGCGGGGCTGGCGCGGGCCTTGGTGGGCTCCCGTGTAGAGGGTGTCCGTGCTGGCCGGTGGCGAGGCCGGCAGCACATGGAAACCCACCGCGGCCTGACACTGCGTAGCCGGGCCAGCCCAGCCCACGGGGACTCCCGGCGAGAGCGGAGAACGGGAATCACCGAGTGCAGCAATTAAAATGGGAAAGCGAGGCAGCCTCCATTTTTGTAGAACATCATCATCGTTAAATAAAAACCCAAGTTAAGCTGAACTTGGAAACCGAGTGAAGTTCAGTCCAATTCACCATCACGTTTGAAGCAAAAAGGCGTGGCTGCCTCTGAGTTTGCTAGTCCCTCTGGCTCCCTCCTTTCATTCGTTCTCCAGGACCTCACCGGGCAGCACTGGCTGCCAGGCCCAGAGGGGCCTGAGCCCCTCCCCCCTCAGCCTGTCGCTGTCTGCAGGGCTGAGCTTCTGACCAGCGGGGAAGAGGGGTCAGCAGAAATGACCCGAATGGGGCGGGGTGTGAGGGTCACCAGGAGAGCCCTGCATGCCACCGCACCACGGGGCAGAGGGCGCTCAGGCCGGGGGTGGGGAGGGAAGGGAAATCATGCACGACACTTACACTTTCTGGAACACAAGAAAACTTCTCTGAAATCATAAAAGGCACACCATCCATTGCTGCAAAAGAAGAGAGAGGAAAGGGCATTGTCGATAATATCCATGTCAAAGAATTGAGACGTGAACATCGACAGTACAAGCCAGGCAGTGGCCGGAGCCGGCCAACCTGCACGCAGGAGCGTGAGGCCCAGGGGTGCACACAGGCACCATCCCTGCTCCTGGGACACCCCTGGTGCGGGAGGCAGACGCCCCCACGTCCCCGGAAGAGCAGGCAGCTGTGTAGACAAGAGCGGTGAGAGCAGAGCACCCGTCCCGGAGCCTGGCCTCTGGCCTGTGAGTGGCAGGAGCCGGGGAGGAGCTGCCAGCAGGACGGGTGCCGGCGGCTGAGGGCAGAGCAGGCGGTCAGACATGTTCTCAGCCGAGGGTCACATCCAGGCCGTGGGGCCCTTGGCCGGGCCCTGGATCGGGCTTTTAGCCCTCCTTCCAACCGACAGTCACGCATTTCAGAAGAAAGATCTAGAAACATGACTGCGTTCTGGGCCGTGGTGGCCCCTGGGCTGTTTGTCAGCTCCTGCCGCGCTAGCTGTGACGGACGGGGAAGGGCCCTGGCCCAGGTCGGCTGACTGGACTCGGAAGGATGTAAATACAAACCGAGGAGAAAAAGAGCCAGAAAAAAGTAACTTGCAAAACCTGGATATTAGCAACAGTAGCATTTTTATGTGAATCTATGTATAGTTGCATTGCGACCGATTGTTGAGTTAATAAAGCTGCTGCAATGATCATAACCTGCATGTGTTTCCATATGATCAGATATAAACCCACTTCTGCGGCCCCTGTATAATGTGTCATGTCTATCTTATAGCATACCCAGGTAATAGGCAACATACATCTTACATTATACACCTATATACACACGTATACATACATGTGCCCACATATGTAGCATTTTCCAAGGCCTGCTCTTAGCTTCTAAGAGTCTGACGGGAGCGGGGAGACCGTGCCCCCCCACCCCCAGCAGGCCTTCCCCACCTGCCGTCCAGGGAGAGGTCCCCGCTCCACACCTGGAGAACTGGGGCACGGTGGGGGTTGTTGGGAACGAGCGAGGGCTAACCCTCCAAGTGGGTCATCGAGGTGTAGGGCTGAGGCACCCCTGTCCTCAGGGAAGCACTGAGGAGGCTGAGGAGAGAGGCCAGAGCGATGCCAGGTGGGAACCCAGAGGCAGCCGCGTGGAGAGAAGGGAGGACATCTGGGACAAAGTACCACTTTATCTCAGAGTTCAGGGTAGAAGGAGGCTCAGTCAGATGCTCTTTACAGTCTTCTAGAAAACGGAAGAACACACTCGGAAGGAAGGAAAGCGAGTGGCCAGGATGCTGTGGCTGGGATGGGAACGGAGCTCCTCTAGACACTTCCACCCACGGGTGGAGCTCCTCACACGGGGGCAGAGTCCCCAGGCGCCAGCGAAAGCTTGCCAAACAGAGAATCTGCCTGCCAAACTTCACTTATTTAAAAAATCGAAACGTCAGAGATTATGGTAGGAGGAAGGAATGTGGATTTTGCAAAGCATTTGACAAAACGTCTCATGCTGGCCATGTGGATAAGACAGATAAATACGCTGACAGTGTGAAGGGGGAGAATCCCTCACTGGCTGGACTAGATGCCCAAGCAGCTGATTAACAGACTGATGCTGACCTTGAGCAATCTCTCTGGTTGCCCAGGGTGTTATCAATGACTTCAGTGAAGATGTGCATAGAATGCTTACGTAATACTAGTGACCTGGTGCATGGATTCGTGCACATCGAAAGGAAATTAATTAGAAGGTGGTCAGCAGAGTGGGACTGGGCAAGACGGGCTGGACACGCCCTGGAGCCAACCTCCCGCAGTCCCTCCTTGGCTGGCTGCACCTGGGGTGGCGACGTGGCTCACAGGGCGTCTGCAGAGTGAGCGGGGTGCCTCCAGCAGGTGGGGTCACTCGGCCTGGCCTGAGGGGATGGGGCGAAACCGGCTCTCTGATATCCCCCTAGGGGTCCCGGAGTGTGAGAGGGCACTCTGCAAAGTTGCTGTCGTACAGGGTGTGGAACGCAAATGCAAGTGTGCAGTAAACCAGATTCAGGGCCAACAGTGCCCAGCAACAACGTAGCCCACGGCCGAAGGTGGAATCGCACGGCCCCTTGAGGAATCGGGCTCCTCCTCTCTGGTTTCAGGGTGTGTCACCTGAGAACCGCTGCTGCCAAGTCACTGCAGGTCTGCAGCTCCTGCATTGAGCGTTTGCCCCCTGGTGGTTAGTGCACGTCATAGCGACCAATGGACACTTAGCATATTAGCCTTTTATATATATAGAGGTCTGGTGCACGATCATTCGTGCACTGGGGGTAAGGGAGGGGGCTGGGTCCCTCAGCCCAGCCTGCACCCTTTAGCAGTCTGGGAGCCCTTGGGGGATGTCCGATTGACAGCTTAGGCCTGCTCCGTGGACATCCTTAGCACTGCTGTGCCACTACCGCTGCGCTCACCAGCCATCAGCCTGGCTTGTGGCTGAGCAGTGCTCCCCCTGTGGGAGCGCACTGACCACCAGGGGGCAGCTCCTGCATTGAGCGTTTGCCCCCTGGTGGTCAGTGCGCATCATAGCAATGGTAATTCCACTGTTCGGTCGATTTACATATTACCCTTTTATTATACAGGATGTGGCTGATGGGGAGTCAGGGAGGGCAGTTTATAAACTGGAAACAGAGAGAAATCCAAGAAAGATCTCAAAAAGTTGGGATCATGGGCTACACTTAACGGAGGGATTGAACTTACTAAAGGTCATTAAGTCCAGTTGGTACTTTAGGCCCCAAGCCGATGGTATTAGGTGGAATGAAAGAGATGTGGAGTCACAGCAGAGGAGATGAACAATAATGTGACTTCACGATGTGAAAGGGGCAGGGATGCCATGGTGAGGCACAGGCTGAGTCCTGCCACCAGAGCCCGGCGGTCGCTGTGTCCGCTGGAGCTCAGTGCAGGACGGAATCCTCTGAGCGTTACCGGCAGCTCTAGGGAGGCCCAGACACTGGGGAACCCAAAGCCAGACCAGTGAGGAGAGGAGAGGACACCATCAGGCCTGATGCTCCAGGCAGGCCGATCCTGTTCACCCTTGTTCACTGTGGCCCCACTGGGTCCCAGCGCTGGGCCAGCACACGGAAGGTCAGCAGATGGGGACCCTGGCCCTGGAAGAGGAGGCTGGAAGGTGACCACACGTATTCTCAGCGCTGCCACAGGGGGAGCGGCAGAGAGGTGGGTGAGGTGCAGAGGGGAGCTGCCCTCCTCTGGGGGGATCCGAGGAAGGGCCAGTGGAGCTGGGTGGGAGCGCCAGGCAGGCGGCCATGTGTCGGGGAGCTGGGGGGTGGGTGTTCTGTGTGGGGTACAAAGCTGACCTGTGAGACCGCTAAATCCCCTTCTTATTCTATAACGTTCATTTCGACTCTCCTTATCTGGGCAGCCTTTTCATGTTTTAAAATATCTAGAGGTTTGCCAAACATAATTCTTAAAATCAACGGCACACGTTTTTCATGTGCTCCAAATGCACGTTCATCAATCACCCCCATCCTGGCTCCTCGTGGGGGAGCCAGGCCTCCCCTCTCTCCCTCCCTCCGTCCCTCCCTCCCCCCACTCCCAGCTGAAGCCAGTATTTTGTCTTCACTGCACTGTGCACAGAGGTTGATGCGTGTTCTACATTGTCTACTGCTGAGTCCTCTCAGGATGACATGGGATGGGCGGGGGGTGGGGGTGGGG